TTTATTCTTATGGCTGCAAAATGGTGATTTTTTTTTTTTCTAATTCTTTTCTATATTTGTTGGTATTATATTGTAAGGAAGAGTTTTCCTTGAAGGATGAATGTCTGATAAACAGGTGGGTGCTAAGAAGAGCATAGATCAAGACAGAGAATTATTTATAGAAAGCATAGAGGGTGTTTGAGATGGTGGCGAACAGTTGAGTTTACTTGGTGCATAGAATATATATAGGAGAGTAGGTGGCTGAAAATGTTGAGGTCAGATTATAGAAAGCTTTGAAAACCAATCTGTGGAATTTGGAATTACTTTATGGATTTGTTAGAAGGGAAGGACGTCATTACAGTTTTGTGATAACTGTGACAGTGTTATTGATAAAAAATTTCTGTATCTCAGTTTGCATTTAGAGGACTGTGAGAGGAGTAGTATCAAGGGAATGCTGGATCTAGTTAAGGCAAGAATGTGGAAGCAGCCTTGGAGGAAAGGTGGGTTTTATGGAGGAGTTTGTTCTTAAAAGAATGGGAATACACCTTCAAGTTACTAAATGAAACAAAACAGAATCAAAGACAAATTTTTTTTTTTGAGATGGAGTTTTGCTCTTGTTGCCCAGGCTGGAGTGCAATGGCACGATCTCGGCTCACCACAACCTCGGCCTCCCGGGTTCAAGCAGTTGTCCTGCCTCAGCCTCCCAAGTAGCTGGGATTACAGGTGTGTGCCACCACGCCTGGCTATAATTTTTTTGTATTTTTAGTAGAGACGGGGTTTCACCAGGCTGGCCAGGCTGGTCTCGAACTCCTGACCTCGTGATCCACCCACCTTGGACTCCCAAAGTGTTGGGATTACAGACATGAGCCACTGCGCCCCTCCAACAAATGTTATAATAGAAAAATGGGCAAAGGACATGGCTGGTCCTTTTATAAAAGGGGAAACAAGAAAGGTCAATAAATAAAAGAAGACAATGAACCTAACTTGTAATTAGGGAGGTGGCATTCATTTCCATCAGATTAGCAATAATTAATACTCCTGAATAGTGTTGGAGGTGAAGAATAAATTGTTCTTATTTAATTAATTTTTTCATACAGCTTCTATTGCCCAGGCTGGAGTACAGCATGATCATGACTCACTACTTCTTTGATCTCCTAGGCTCAAGCAGACCTCCCACCTTAGCCTCCTGAGTAGCTGAGAGTACAGGTGTGTGGCAACACACCTACTAATGGTTTTTTTTTTTTTTTTTTTTTTTTTTGAGATGGAGTTTCGCTCTTGTTGCCCAGGCTGGGTTCAAGCGATTCTCCTGCCTCAGTCTCCCTAGTAGCTGGGATTACAGGCATGTGCCACCACACCCGGCTAATTTTGTATTTTTAGTAGAGACGGGGTTTCTCCTTATTGGTCAGGCTGGTCTCGAACTCCTGACCTCAGGTGATCCACCTGCCTCGGCCTCCCAAAGTGCTGGGATTACAGGCATGAGCCACCGCACCTGGCTTACTAATTGTTTTAAAATTCAGTTTTTGTAGAGATGGGGTGTCACTATGTTGCTCAGTCTGGGTCTGGAACTCCTGGGCTCAAATGATCCTCTTGCCTTGGCCTACAAAAATCCTGGGATTATAGACATGAGCCACAATGCCCAGGCCAGCTCTTATTTTAGAGAACATTTTGGTAATATCTAGTAAAGTTGAAGCTGTGTACAACCTGATACCTATAAGTCCACCTCTAGACTTAGGTGGTCTTTGACTAGTGTATCACATCTGGAGGAACATGGCATTTGCCCCTTACTGGTGATACTAGTTTTGATTACTTAGGGTGGACCCAGTAAGTCCACATTTAGACTTAGGGGTTTCTCTAGGAACTCCCAGACTATATACAATATTCTGTGCCTTATAAAATTGGACTCCTATAGGTTTAGCGTTAATTGCTGATGATAAATACATAAAAGATGTGTTTTTTGTGTTTTTTGTTTTTGAGACGGAGTCTCACTCTGTCCCCCTGGCTGGAGTGCAGTGGCGCGATCTCGGCTCACTGCAAGCTCCGCCTCCCGGGTTCCTGCCATTCTCCTGCCTCAGCCTCCCAAGTAGCTGGGACTACAGGCACCCGCCACCACGCCTGGCTAATTTTTTGTATTTTTAGTAGAGACGGGGTTTCACTGTGGTCTCGATCTCCTGACCTTGTGATCCGCCCGCCTCAGCCTCCCAAAGTGCTGGGATTACAGGCGTGAGCCACCACACCCGGCCATAAAAGATGTTAAATACAGCATTCATTACAATGTGAAATACACCATCGTTTCTAATAGATAAAATCTGAAAACAGCACCTATATATATCTATATCAGGAGGGAAAAGGTTTAATAAATTGTGATATGTTCTTACTGTTGAATTCTACAGCAGTGAAAGTGATTTTTGAGGTTCTTGATGTGTACTCCTATTTAGCAGAACAGATGAACCAGTTCATATTCCAATGAGCAATATATGAAAATGCCAGTCTTACTACACCTCATAGTTCCTCAGTCTTCTAATTATTGACAAAAGGTGCCTCATTATTCCCTTAATTTATATATTTAGATATTTAATGCTTTTTCCATATGTTCAAACTGTAGGGAATAATAAAATTATCTGATTTGAATTTGATAAGCCAGATAGTAAATATTTTAGGCTTTCTGGATGTGTAATTTCTGTTGCAGCTACTCTGATGTTGTAGTATGAAAGCAACAACAGACAGTACGTGAATGAATATCACTGTGTGATATTTATTGGAATAAAACTATGGAGAATGAAATTCAGATTTCACATGTCAGGAAATACAGTCAGCCCCCTGTATCTGGGGGTTCAGTATCTGAGGTTCCTCACCCACAGATTCAACCAACCACAGATTTCAAGTATTCCAAAGAAAATCCAATAAAAATAATACAATAATGAAAGATAATATAAAGAAAAAACAACAGAGTATAACAATATTTACATTGTATTAGATGTGAGTAATCTAGATATGATGTAAAGTATGCAGATGAAGATGTGCGTATATGCAGATACTACCCATTTTATATGAGAAACTTGAGCATCAGCCAGATTTTGGTATCCTCGGGGAAGTCCTGGAACCAAACCCCAGCTGATACTAAGAGATGACTGGATTATTGTTGTGATTTCAGGTTTTTTCCTCTGAGATGGAGTCTTACTCTGTCACCCAGGCTGGAGTGCAGTGGCACGTTCTCGGCTCACTGCAACCTCCGCCTCCCAGGTTCAAGTGATTCTCCTGCCTCAGCATCCTGAGTAGCTGGGATTACAGGCGCATGCCACCACACCCAGCTAATTTTTGTATTTTTAGTAGAGATGGGGTTCCCCATGTTGGCCAGGCTGGTCTCAAACTTCTGACCTCAAGTGATCTGCCTGCCTTGGCCTCCCCAAGTGCTGGGATTACAGGTGTGAGCCACTGCACCTGGCCAATTTCAGTTTTTTACCACTTGTACTTGAATCTAGAAAAGCTACTTTTTATATTCCCATTCTAACTTAAATGATCACTTCATTTGCAAGAAAAGGTCTTAATGAAATGTCAGATTTTTTTGGCTTTTACTTTTTCTTCATAGCAGAGTTGATGAAACAGCATAATATCAAGGAATCAATAAATTTAAATAGTAATCTTTATTCTTCCAAAGATTTTTAAAGTAATCCTTATTACTTGTTAGCTGTTTCTTTAAACTTAATACATGAATAAAACAAAATTCCCTCGTGAAGCTGTTAAAGATTTTTCAAAGAAAATGATTAGTCACAGCTGAGCATGGTGGCTCACACCTGTAATCCCAGCACTTTGGGAGGCCGAGGTGGGCGGATCCTGAGGTCAGGAGCTCGAGACCAGCCTGGCCAACATGGTGAAACCCCATCTCCACTAAAGATACAAAAAATTAGCTGGGTGTGGTGGTGCGTGCCCGTAAACCCAGCTACTCAGGAGTTTGGGGCAGGAGAATCACTTGAACCCGTGGGGGCAGAGGTTGCGGTGAGCTGAGATCGTACCACTGCACTCCAACCTGGGTGATAGAGCAAGACTCCATCTCAAAAAAAAAAAAAAGAAAAAAAGATTAGTCACATTCCTTGTCCAAATAAAATCCACATATTTTTTTCACCTATTATTACTTGGTTCTCAGCTAAAACATAGGAAATGAGATGAGTGAACCCAAAATACAGCCCAGCACCCTGTTTAGTGCTTTGTATATGGGAGGTAATTATTTATAAATGATTGTTGTGCCAACTCCAGATGCAAATTACTAACAATGTGAAGTAGCCTAGGCTTCAAATTAAATGGGTGGTATAATCAATAAATGCTTTAATAGCTGGAGAAGTAAGGTAAATGGAATTTTTTTTTTTTTTTTTAGATGGAGCCTTACTCTGTGGCCCAAGGTGGAGTGCAGTGACGCCATCTTGGCTCACTGCAACCTCCGCCTCCCGGGTTCAAGCGATTCTCCTGGCTCAGCCTCCCGAGTAGCTGGGACTATAGGCGCCCACCACCACACCCAGCTAATTTTTGTATTTTTAGTAGAGGTAGGGTTTCACCATGTTGGCCAGGATGGTCTTGAACTCCTGACCTCAAATGATCCACCACCACTTCGGCTTCCCAAAGTGCTGGGATTACAGGCATGAGGCACGTGCCTTGCCAGTAAATGGATTTTAAGCTGAGTTTTTGAGGGAAGAGTAGGACCTAGACTGAAACAAAAAGGGAGACAGAATTTGTGTGGTTGGGGAGAGGAACCAGATGTAAACGATGGAAAAGTTGGTGTCACTTTGAGGAGGATTTTTTGGAAGGGTTTTGCAATGTCCAGTCTGTATCTTGGGTTAGCACTAATAGATCAAATGGAGAATAATTTGAGTGTCACTCATTCCTACAGATAGAAAAATTTTTAAGTAGCTTGGGCTGGGATTTTCTTTTTATCATGTGCCATTGTGTACGTGTCTGCTACTTCATTTAGTTCCCTTTTTAAAAACTGGATTTTTACTACTGTGCAAAGGTTAAACATTTTTTTAAATAAATTTTTTTTTTTTTTTTTTAGCCCAGAGGTCTTTTATTTATTTATTTTTTTAACACCTATTATGCCATGAATTCATAGGGAATAGGTTCCAGCAGCTCAGGCTCCTTCCCATTGGTTCTCACAAAGTGTGCTTCTCTGGGTGGAGCAGGCTGGCGCTTCAGTTGAACCCAGGTACCTTTCTCTTTGGCTTCTTTCTTTTTCTGATCATTTTCCTTCACGCGTTTCAGGAAGCTATCTCGGCTCTTAGAGTGCTTAATGTGCTCGATGCGCACATTAATTCTCTTGGCAAGAATCTTGCCCTTAACTTGTTTGTTTACAACAATGCCAACAGCATGCTGGGTAACATTGTAGACTCTCCCAGTTTTGCCATGGTAACACTTGTGGGGCATTCCTTTTTGAACAGTACCCATTCCCTTGATGTCTACGATATCACCTTTCTTATAGATTCGCATATATGTGGCCAAAGGAACAACTCCATGTTTTCTAAAAGGCCTAGAGAACATATATTGGGTGCCTCTCCTCTTTCCCTTTGTGTTCGTCATTTTGGCGAATTACTGGAAGATGGCGGTTCCGGCCGAAAGGAAAGCATTTTTTTAAATAAATTAATAATGGAATGTTTAAGCCTTCCTCAGTAATAAGTATAATCTTACCTCTACATCTGATCAGGTGGGTCAACTATATAGTAACTAAAATAGACTGTAATAGCTGTCTTCGCCACGTTAGTTTTTATTTTCACCATGCCTGTAGAATGCTTTATATTGTAGTCCCTTATGATCTGAGGTTTCATTTTCTGATGTTTCAGTTACCTGTGTTCAACTGTGTCCAAAAATAGGTGACTACGATATGATATTTTGAGAGAGACCACATTCACATAACTTTTATTATAGTACATTGTTATAATCGTCCTATTTTCATTGTTAATATCTTACTGTGCCTAATTTATAAGTTAAACTTTATCATAGGTATATATGTATAGAAAAAACATAGTGTATACTGTATGGGGTTCAGTATTAGCTGTGGTTTCAGGCATCCTCTGTAGAGGTCTTGGAATATATCCCTTGTGGATAATGGAGGACTACATATTTGAGTGGTTGGTGGACTTAAACTAAGGAGACCTTTTCATGACTCTTGGTGCTAACAAGGTTGACTCGGAAAAGAAAAACAATTTATATCAATAAATCTAAGGTAGGCTTATATGAATGCTGCATACTTTTCATCACTGCAGTGTTATGGAATGAAAAGTAGTTGTATGGGTTTTATACTATACAACATTAAACTCATAGTTATTTGGAATATGAGCAACCAGGAAAAGAAAATAACCAGCTATTTGGTTTGCTTTACATAGTAATCTACTTTTAATAGTCAGGACAGGATGAGGTATGGCATTTTAAAAAAAGTAATACCTAGTGTATCCTAGGTTTGGTACATACTCGGATTAGGATACATTTGCAGGAGTACTATACAACAACTGTTCACTTTGATGAATCTGAGGCCTTTGAGGTTCAGAACTGCTTTCCCTATATTAATTGTTTTTTTTCAAAAAAGGCTTTACAAAAGGATTTAACATTTGAGTATTTAATTTTACATTGTAGGTACTGGAAAATATCTGTTGAAGAAATTAGATTATAATTCCTTAAAACTTTATTATTGAGGCCAGGCGTGGTGGTTTACGCCTGTAATCCCAGCACTCTGGGAGGCCGAGGCAGGTGGATCACGAGGTCAGGAGATCAAGACCATCCTGGCTAACGCGGTGAAACCCCGTCTCTACTAAAAATACAAAAAAATTAGTCGGGCACGGTGGCGGGCACCTGTAATCCCATCTACTCGGGAAGCTGAGGCAGGAGAATGGTGTGAACCTGGGAGGCGGAGCTTACCGTGAGCCGAGATTGCGCCACGGCACTCCAGCCTGGGTGACAGCAAGACTCCGTCTCCCAAAAAAAAAAAAAAAAAAAAAAAAATTGAGTTAACCAAAATGTTACCAGATCTCAATTCTTAGCTATTCTGTTGTGAAGAAGTGAGAGGTTTACTACCATTAACAAAGCTGCAGATGTACACTGCTACTGGCAGAACTATCCCTAGAGAGTGGCAAAACTTTATACTTCCCAAGGGAACATATCTGTGGGTCATGCTTTGCTTTGGACTGGAGACAGTAGTAACTCTAGGAGGTGAACACAGAACGTTCTACATGTTTAGAAATACAAAAAGAAACAGCCCTTAACAATTATTCCCACACTCTCACCCTCATTGCCTCTTCATTCTATAGATGCTCTCAAGCTTGTGACTTTTGTCCCAAGATGTTGTGACATGGCATCTGACTCCCTATTGATCAGCAGGGTTAAAATCCTCCTGGGTTTTTCTGTCCACAATGTTCTGTGAATTGCTATATTTAAACCAGCTTTTTTTTCTTTTTTTTTTTTTTGGAGATGGAGTCTTGCTCTGTTGCCCAGGCTGGAGTGCAGTGGCACACTGTACAGTGGCAAATGAAGACATATTTATCTGATCCTCTGATATAAAACCCCCTATTAATAAACACCTTTCTTAAAAGTTCTATATAAAGGTATACTTACAATAGGAATGTTTCCTTTAACTTGTCTATAATTGAACGGGAAATAGGGGTGGCAGGGAGGTTCAAAAAACAAAATAAATGGAAAGGGAAATTGAAGGCATCCAGAGACTTTTTTTTTTTTTTTTGAGACTGAGTCTCACTCTGTCACGCAGGCTGGAGTGCAATGGTGTGATCTCAGCTCACTGCAACCTCCACCTCCCAGGTTCAAGTGATTCTCCTGCCTCAGCCTCCCAAGTAGCTGGGATGACAGGCACCTGCCACCACACCTGGCTAATTTTTGTATATTTAGCAGAGACGGGATTTCACCATGTTGGCCAGGCTGGTCTCAAACTCCTGACCTCAGGTAATCCACCCGCCTCGGCCTCCCAAAGTGCTGAGATTGTAGGCTGAACCACCACGCCCTGCCTAAACCAACTTTTGTGAGATGGCTTTTTAAGGTAATAGCATGAACCAATTCATTCCTCTGCCAGGGTCTGATTCAACCCTTCAAAAACATGGGTGGACCCTATATAATGTGACTTGATTCCACATCGGATCCCCACAGAGCTAGTCTTGGCTTTTCACTTGGAACATGCCCAGTGCTGATACAAAGTAAAGACTCACTATAGATCTTATTGCTATCCATGGTACATTATAAAACTTGTCTAAATATTTAAAGGTTTAAAACAAGCCTGAGCAGTGGGTGTCAAGAGTATAAGTCAGGTATATTTCATAGTAAAATTAAAATGCCATTAAAATTTTGTTCTTGTGGGGCTGGGTTTGGTGGCTCATGTCTGTAATCCCAGCACTTTAGGAGGCTAAGGCAGGCAGATCACCTCAAGTCAGGAGTTCAAGACCAGCCTACCCAACGTGGTGAAACCCCCATCTCTACAAAAAATACAAAAATAAGCCAGGTGTTGTTGCTGGTGCCTCCCAGCTCCTCGGGAGGCTGAGGCAGGAGAATTGCTTGAACCTGGGAGGTGGCAGTTGCAGTGGGCCAAGATCACACCATTGCACTCCGGCCTGGGTGACAACAGCAAAACTCCATCTTAAATAAATAAATAAATAAATAAATATTGTTCTTGCTTTGTAAATGCTGCTTTCATTTTTTTCATTTTGGAGTGGGGAGCCTTGCCGATAGTCAGTGACTTGTATATTTGTTTACTGGCATTTGATAGGCTGCTCTTCATCTTGCATGAAAAGATAAAGACCTAGCTAGTCTAATCCTACTGGGATTCATATCAGTGGCCTCAGAGGGGTTGAGATGCTTCAAAGCTGCTGTTTAAAGGGCAAAACTAAGTATCTTATTTGGAAAATATTAAAATATGTCCTTTATGGCTTTATTAGAATCTGAATTGTAAACATTTGGTACCGTGGGTTAAAGTTCCGCTTTAAAATTAATTTCTGAGTATGTGAGATATGCCTTTTCTTTGTGACATTTGCAGTGCAGTGAATTCAGGCTGTTTTTAAAAGGTCAAGTTTTTAAAAGGCAGGGGCATTAGTGCCAGGGCTGCTTGAAGATGAACAGCTATGGAGAAATCCTACAGTGAAAGAGGTTGGTTTTTTGTTTGTTTGTTTTGAGGTGTCATTCTAGGATATATATATATATATATATTCTAGTTGTTGGCGTAACATTAAAATTAGTGACACAATACAGGTTTCTTGTATAGGTTTTGAGAAGCTAGCAGTCCTCAAAATAACAGACGAAGCAATGTAGTTTTTGCTAATGGCACTTGCTGTGACTCATGATAGGGACCTACTGTTGATGAGCATTCCAACAAAAATAGCTTTATCTTCACCATTTATTAACATGGCTATCTTGTTAAAACATTTTCTGAAACCAAAAGCTAGCGTGATCATTCATAGCATTGTCTTATTAAAAGACTATGTCATACTGTATCATAGAAAAAACCATTCTGGGTGGTAGAATTTGCTTCCTGGTCTATTAGGTTATCTGTTCTCCCCTCTAACTTAAGGTAATGTCTGAAAACAGAGCCATTCAGGTATTGCTTAGGTAACTAAACCAGTGAAACCAGTGAAACTGCCTTTATACTGTTACCAAGAACAGCAGACTCCCATCACAAAAAAAAAAAATCTCTTATTACTCTACTCAAATTATTCATCTTTAAAAAGGCATAGGGTTTTTTTTTCTCTTGAAAATTTTTGGATTAATTTGAAGGTCATTTCAAAATGATCCAGGATAACAATCTATTTTTCCTTTTCCTAAATTATTTCTCAAAACAATGTAATTTCTGTGTGTGATGACCTAACAGTCACTAACAACCTCAGCGCACTTTTTGGTTAGATACTCCACACCCAATAGCTAAAATCAACTGCTTTTGGGATTCTAAAGTTACAGGGTCTGTATGAAAATACCAGACACATTAATAAATTAAATTTTGGTGGCCCATTCATGATATGGCTCTTGTATCTCCAGATTCTGAGACTGAAAATGTAACTTGATCAAGCTATTAAATTACTGTAATAAAACAATTACTCCCTTAGAATTTTAATTTACAATTTGTCTACTTCCAAAAAGGGTTTAAAGCAGTTACTATCAGACTGGCATTAGGTCATTTCAAACGTTGTGGAACACAGAGGATCTTCGTGTATTTAGCTTAACAATACAAAAAGATATTTTGTAACTATAAATATTCACTCTTACAACATGGTGGTAAGACTTTTCTTTGCAGAACAATCTTTGCTCTGTTACCTGCCAGATTCTTCTCTCATGCTCAGCATGAGACAGTTAAGTAAAAGGGAAAAACACTAAAAGCAACTGATTGGCAAACTTCTCACCCTAACTCAAACTTAGCACACAAAATTATTGTCTACCCAGTAGGGTTTTATGTCCTTTAACTGAAAAGGGCACTAAAAATAATTACTGTGGACTTGAGCTTTTCTCTTTCGGGGGAGGGTGGGGAATCACCTCTCTTACAAAGATAAAAGGCACAGAATTAAAGTCTTTCATCCTTTTTTGTATTGGTGCGATTATGAAATATTATGGCTTATACTTTAGCAAGAAAGTACTGGGAAG